TCAGCCCATCCAGGTGACCATCCGCTCACAGTAGTGCTCAGAAGGTGGGGTGGGAAAGCCTGGCTGAGCCTCTGCTCCATCTCTTCCTCCCCGCCGCCCACCACGTGGCAGAGTTTTGCCAAAACCCCACCAAGGGGGCCACCTCCGCAGAGCAGGGGAGACTGTCCGAGGGGCAGCAGGCACTCTGGGGCTCTCAGCTCTCTCCCTGTGGCCTGGGCCGGGGAGGCCTGGATGCCCCAGCCACTGAGCCTGGCTGAGCCTCCTGGAGGACCTCCCCTGCACTGAAGCCCTGCCTGCTCGGCCCTCCCAGGAAGGGAGGGACACCTCCCTGCTGACCTACTTCCTTCCCATGCTCCACCAGGGCGCCTCTGAGCACCTGTGAATGCCCAGAGGCTGGGCCCCTTGGGGGCGTTAGCAGAGACTCCTGCCCATCCTTGATTACCTTCGTGGGTCCGATGCAGGGGCTAGATGGGTTGTGGTTGAGAGCATGTCCTGGGAAGTCAGCCTGTGGGCACAGATCTCTATGCTATAACTTACTATCTGGGTGATTTATCCTTTGCTGCCTCATTTATCTCACCTGTAAAATGGGGATGATGATCATAATAGGAGCTAATCCCAGTTATTGTGAAGATTTAGCAGGCCTGAGGGCAGATGGGGTCCCAATCCCGCATTTAGGAAACCCATTGTGTAGGGCTGGAACTCGGTCTGCAGGGTAAAGGTGCTGGTGCAGGCCCTGCCCTAGCCTCCCAGTCTGCCCCAGGGGGCCCGAGCATCTGAAGTGGGGAACTGGGGGCCAAGGAGGCAGAGCCCTGTGACCTTGAGTCCTCTTACCCACTGCTGAGAAGGTCACCCTGCACCTGGCTCCAAGCCTTCAGAACCAAATGTAGCCCAGATGTGAGGTCTCCCCTCTGACCGGGACTCAGAGAGGCTGTCTGCTGGCCCTCAGCCCAGCTGCCCACAAAGCCACCCTCCTGGGACCCCATGGCTGCCCTGAAGGAGCCAACTGGCCTTGAGCCTGTCAGCTGGCCCTAGTTTCCCGAGCCCTCTGCATTCCCTCTGGCACCCAGCATTGCAGCAGGGTGTACGGGGAAGGACGGAGCCTCAGGAAGGTTCTCTCCTAGGATGTGGGGAAAAGGGAACCCTCCTGCACTGTTGGTGGGAATGTAAATTGGTGCAGCCACTATGGAGAACAGTATGGAAGCTCCTTTATAAACTAAAAGTAGAGCTACCATATGATCCCGCAATCCCACTCCTGGGCATAAATCCCCCAAAGAAGGAAACTTTAATTTGAAAAGATACATGCACCTCAATGTTCATAGCAGCACTATTTACAATAATCAAGACATGGGAACAACCCAAGTGCCAGATAATTGGTAAAAGAAGATGACTGGTTTAAAAAGATGTGATAGATATATAATGTATATTATATATATAATGGAATATTATTCAGCCATTAAAAAGAATGAAATATTGTCATTTGCAGCAGTATGGATTGACTTAGAGATTATCGTACTAAGTGAAGTAAGTCAGACAGAGAAAGACAAATACCATATGATATCACTTACATGTGGAATCTAAAAGATAATACAAATGACTCTATGTACAAAAATGAAACAGACTCATAGACATAGAAAACAAACTTCTGTTTACCTAAGGGGGAAGGGGTGGGAGGAGGGATAAACTAGAAGATTGAGATTAACAGATACAAACTACTATACATAAAATAGATAAGCAGCAAGGATTTACTGTATAGCATAGGAAACTGTATTCAATATCTTATAATAACCTATAATGGAAAAATAATCTGAATATATATATAGCCACTAACAACCACTCATCTGTTCTCCTTTTATATATCTGAATCACCTTGCTTACACCTGAAACTAACACAGCATTGTAAATCAATTACAGCTATATTTCAATAAGATAAAATAAAGGATGATGTCAGTTATATTAAAAAAAAAAAAAAGATTGTCTCCTTCTCTGGACAGAAGAAGGCAGACTCAGAGCTCTCTACAGCACAGACAATTGAGGCCTGAGGTCTGGGGACACCTTCCCTGGTCAGAGGGAAGGAGGGGAGTCCTACACAGGCTCTCAAGTGGATCTAGGTAGGTGTGGTCCATTCTGAGCCCCCTCAGAGAGATGCAGAAGTGGAATGGTTTCTCAGTAGAAAGAACCAAGTTAAGCAGGGCCATTCAGAGCAGAACCTGGCCCCCGAGACCTGGAGCACCTTGGTGGGACTGCCTGCTTTATGCTTGCTGTTCCCACAGCCTGGAACACTGCTCCCCACTTCATCCTGTGACTGGATCCTTCTCACCATCCAGGCATAAGCTCAAATGACGTTTCCTCCAGGAAGCCTTCCCTGACCACCCTGGATGAAGTAGTCTCCCTGCACTACCCCAGGCACTGCTATAGACAGAGGACAGAAGTCGGGGGTGGGGGGAGAAAGATCGACTGATTTAGTTTATTTCCTATCATTTGAGGTTTTTTAAATTAAACTTATTTATTTTACCAAAACTGTTAATTCACATGTAGTTTTAAGAAATAATACAGACATCCCAGGTACACTTTACCCAGTTTTCTTTCAAAACCATAATAACATCAACCAAGACATTGACATTGATACAGAACAGGCTACAGAAGATCCCCATCACCAGGAGGACCCCTCCTGTTGCCCTTTGATACCCTCTCACCTCCCTTCTGCCCCAGCTCCTTCTTAGCCACTAACAACCACTCATCTGTTCTCCATTCCTATAATCTTGTCACCTTAAGACTGGTATACAAATGGAATCACACAGCATGTAACCTGTTGGCACCGGCTTTTTTCACTCTGGTCACCCAGCTTTCTAATGTGTCCGTAGCTCATCCCTTTCTGTTGCTGACTGGTGCTAGGGCTGGTGCAGTTTCTCCAACCGTTCGCCCACTGAAGGACATCTGGGTTCTTTTCAGTTATTGACTCTCACGCATGAAGCTGTGAAAAACATTGACCTGCAGGTCTTTGTGTGGACGTAAGTTTTCATTTCTTTGGGATAATTGTTCAAGAGTGTGTTTGCTGAGCCAGAAGTTCCTATATTCAGTTTTTTAAGAAATCACCAAAATGGTTTCCAGAGAGGCTGTACCATTTTACATTCCCACCAGCAAGGTGTGTGAGTGATCCGGTTTCCCCACATCCTCGCCAGCATTTGCTGTTGTCACTCTGCTATTTTTTTAGCCACTCTGATGGGTGTGTGGTGTTAGCTCATCCCTCTTCGATGACTCATGCTGCATCTTTATCACAGAACGGCTGCCTGCTTGGTCTGCCTTCTGTGTATCCCCGGTGCCCCGGGCAGTGCTGGGCACAGGAGGAAACTCAATGACTATTTAGGGAATGAACGCATGGCCTGCGGGGTCGCCTGCCCTTTTAAAGATGAGAAGGAGGAACACAGATAGGCCTTCGCTCTGGGAAACCACTTGAGCACCTGCGGTTTATTTTCCATTATAGGTTATTATAAGATATTGAATACAGTTTCCTGTGCCATGCAGGTGGAATTGCTCAGAGGAGGCTAAGGCCATCTGCCATCCATGGAGGAGAAGGGGGAGGGAAGAGCACCCAGCACCCTCCACACCCCACCAGGGCCCTGGTGCCTCCCGGCCCCACTCAGGGCCCATATTGTGGGCCTGACACGTCTCCCTCCTCCCCTTCCACTGAATCTGCCTTCTTAGGGCAGAAACATCCAGAAGATAAGTGTGTTGGGCTCCCCAAGGCCCATGCTACTGCGGTGTGGGGCTCCCAGGCTTCATTTATCTTTTCCTTTTCGCCCCACTGTAACCACACCAGGGTAAGGACCTTTGCTAGGATTTACCAACGGGACACGACCAAACTTTGCCCTCCGTGCTCCGGAGTAAAAATTGAGGCAGCCTGTTATCCAGGTTGAGTCTGCTGACCTGGGCTGTGGGTTCTGCTCCCTGGAGGGAGGGGATGTCCCTTGTCCTCCGTCCTGTACCCCCCCCATGGTGGCCATCACTGGCCACACTTCATGTGTAATGTATGTATAATGTTGAGCTGTCTCAGAGGAAGCTTCTCCCCACAGCGATATGGTTCCATGAGAGTGACAGAATACAGACATGATCAATTAACAGTGCACGCGAAGTTAACATTGAATGTAAATATTTATAGGTCAAATGGCTCACAGATATACATAGGATGTCAGTATATTTTTTAAAAAAAATCAAAAACTGCAAATGAAGAATTGTAAACTTCATTATCGAAGATGAAGCCAGCCGTAAGGTCAGAAGTTGAAGCACATATCATAAAGCCCCCATCCTCTTGCTGAAAATGGGCCACAAAAGTGTTTTTTTAGATTCCTAATTAAAAATTAATTAGTTAACTAATTAAATTAAAGAATCCTAGTAGCTACATCAGTTTGCTAAACTGTAACAAATTACCGTGGACTGAGGTTTAAATGACAGAGGTTTATTTTCTCACAGTTCTGGAGGCTGGAAGTCCAAGATCAAGGCGTCGGTAGTGTTAGCTTCCTCTGAGGCCTCTGTCTTCCATTTGTAGATGGCTGCCTCCCCTCGGGTGTCCTCACAAGGCCTTCCCTCTGCATGTCTCTGTCCTAATCTCTTCTTGTAAGGGTACCGGTCATATTGGAGGAGGGTCCACCCATACAACCTCATTTTAACCTCAATTCCTCTTTAAAGATCCTCCCTCCAAGTACAGTAACATTCTGAGATACTGGGATTCAGACTTTAACATTTGAAGTTGGGGGTGGGGAACAACTCAGCAACTGTTAAGTCACCAATTGTTAGTGCAGCCCACAACAGTAGCCAAAAGTAGCAAAATGTGAGGAGTCAGAGGGAATAAACCAAAGTGTTTTCCCAGCGGGAGCACTGAGTCATGAGAGAAAATTCCATCTCCGGGCCTGGCCTGGCAGACAGTGTGTGAGTCAGCTGCGAACACCATCCCCGTAGCGCACAGAGCAGCGGAGTTTCACGTAGCCATCCATACTCGTGTTCAGGAATCGCACACCCCCAAAGTGGAATTCAGTGAAATCGTGCCCGAGAGAAGATTCTGTAGCCTTTGCTAAACGGCAGATGCCAGCTGCCCAATGAGAAGCCCCACTCCAAGGGCCTTCGGTGCCCCGGGAAGAGCCCAGAGGTACAGTGAAAAGCCCCAGCTTGTGAGCTGGGCTCTGAACTGCAGGTGAGATAGGGGAAACCTGAGGAAGGAGGGCTGGCTTTCCAGCACAGAGGGAGGGAGGGGAGCCCCAAGCAAAGACAGGGGTGGGTTAGACAAGCACGCCCTGGAGAGTCCCAGAGCTGGCAGCCCTCCTGGGGCTGTGTCCTCTAACCCGGTCTCCCTCTGCGTGTCCCCGCAGGGCTCTGGCTGAGAACATGGCCAATGGCATTGACGAGCTGATCGGCATTCCCTTCCCCAACCACAGCAGCGAGGTCCTGTGCAGCCTGAACGAGCAGCGGCATGACGGGCTGCTCTGCGACGTGCTCCTGGTGGTGCAGGAGCAGGAGTACCGCACCCACCGCTCCGTCCTGGCTGCCTGCAGCAAGTACTTCAAGAAGCTCTTCACGGCCGGCACCTTAGCCAGCCAGCCCTACGTCTACGAGATTGACTTTGTCCAGCCTGAGGCTCTGGCCGCCATCCTGGAGTTCGCCTACACCTCCACGCTCACCATCACCGCCTCCAACGTCAAGCACATCCTCAATGCCGCCAGGATGCTGGAGATCCAGTGCATCGTGAATGTGTGCCTGGAGATCATGGAGCCCGGGGGGGATGGGGGGGGAGGAGGATGACAAGGAGGACGACGATGATGATGAAGATGACGATGACGAGGAGGATGAAGAGGAGGAGGAGGAGGAAGAGGAGGAGGAGGAGGATGACGACACGGAGGATTTCGCAGATCAAGAAAACTTGCCTGATCCCCAGGACATCAATTGCCACCAAAGCCCTTCCAAGACGGACCACCTATCGGAGAAGGCCTACTCAGACACACCCAGGGACTTCCCTGATTCCTTCCAGGCCGGCAGCCCTGGCCATCTGGGCGTGATCCGGGACTTCTCCATCGAATCTTTGCTGAGGGAGAACCTGTACCCCAAAGCCAACATCCCCGACAGGGGACCCTCCTTATCTCCCTTCGCCCCGGACTTCTTTCCACACCTCTGGCCAGGGGACTTCGGTGCCTTCACCCAGCTGCCCGAGCAGCCCGTGGACAACGGGCCCCTGGACCTGGTGATCAAGAACCGCAAGATCAAGGAGGAGGAGAAGGAGGAGCTGCCCCCGCCCCCACCGCCTCCCTTCCCGAACGACTTCTTCAAAGACGTGTTCCCGGACCTTCCCCGGGGGCCGCTGGGGCCCATCAAGGCGGAGAACGACTACGGTGCCTATCTCAGCTTCCTGAGTGCCGCCCACCTTGGGGGTCTCTTCCCGCCCTGGCCGCTGGTGGAGGAGCGCAAGCTGAAGCCCAAGGCCTCTCAGCAGTGCCCCATCTGCCACAAAGTCATCATGGGGGCCGGGAAGCTGCCGCGGCACATGAGGACGCACACCGGGGAGAAGCCATACATGTGCAACATCTGTGAGGTCCGCTTCACCAGGTGCGCTGGGGCGGGGCCCCGGGGACGGAGAGACACCCAGGTCAGGGGCGGCCCTGGCTCCTCCACGTACTGAAAGCTCATTGCCAGAAGGGGTGCTCAGCATACCTGGTGCAGCCATTTTCAAATATTTTCTAATACACCATGTCAGGTCGAAGGAGGCCAAGATGTAAAATCGATAAGCGCAGAGTGGTTCTGGCGAAGGCAGGAGTGAGGGGCCTCGGTACCCACCGTCAATCCAGTTTGGAGGGCAGCCCCCTTTATTTTATTTGGAGCTCAGTCAGCATGCCAGGGCCTGTCCCGAGTGAGAAGACAGGCAGGGTCCAGGGTCTTTGTCCACAGATAGGCGGTCCATCTCTCAGTAGCTAGCCAGCCACTTGTAAGCCCGGCTGGATAATAGCAGAGCTGGGACTTGAGCCCCAGTTCATGTGTGACAGCGACACCTGCAACAGGGGACCCTAGAGGCCCCTGGTGGCCCTTTCAGTCCTCTTTCAGGTCAGACCTAAAGGATGGGCCTCCTTTTGTGTTCTCCCCCTTGACTGTCCATGTTAGGAAGAGGGTTAACTTTATGCTGTTATAAAGTTGAAATTTGAAATCAGTACATTATAAAGCTTTCATCTTTCCTGGACTCCATCCCATTCCACACACGTGGGCTATATACGTTCTCTTCCCAGCCACCAAGGCTGATTGGTGGGAGGATGTGGGGCCCAACTTGTCCATTAGGTTTCATGGGCCTCATCTGGGGCGAATGTGGTCCGTTGGTGCCGCTTGTGGTCCCTGGTGTGAGGCTGGCCTTCCCAGCCTTGTCCACAGTGGGGCAGGGCCTGGTGAGTGGCCCTGCATCAGGGCTTGGTCATTTCAGTGTGTTGGATGTGGACAGAGCCTGGTGGATACTTGTCCTGGGACCGTGACTTCCTAGACCAGGTCCTTTGCCCACACTGCCACTGTCCCCGTCAAGGCATGTGCCATGAGAAACCCATACTTGGTTCCTACTGCTATCACCGCACATCCTCTTGGCAATTTATTCTGGGAATTGCTGGGGGCTTCTTCTTTGATTTTCCTCAGTGGGCCCAGAGCTTTGGTATTTGAGGATGGAGTGAAGTGTTTTGAATCAGTTTGATTATCAAATCAGGGCAATGCTTTTGGGGGGAAAGCAAGATGTGTCCTGTTAAGTAAGGAGACTCACCTTTGGTGGCTTGAAAACTCTACTTGAGGTTGCCAGAGAGGGTACAGGGATGTGTTCAGATGACAATGTCATTGCACAAACAGCTCTGCAGGCTCCTCCAGTGACTGCTTCAAAGGACATCACTGGTTGTTTCCAAGGTGGCCTTGGCTCCCCTCGCAGCTGCTTCTGTGAAGGACACCCCAAGCAGAATCTCTCCCAGATGCTCTGTGCTGACAGTAAAGGGAGAATTTGCAGGTGCAGAGGAACAGGGCCCCGCCTCCCCAGGGCATCCCCCTTCCCCCCAGCAGTGCTGATCTCATGTGCTCTGTTCCTCTGATCACCGCAGAGCAGCGGGACCCAGAGTCCCCGAGATTCACCCCCTCTTGGGTGTCCTTTACCTTGAATTCACCTTAGAGCCACAGAACACATGTAAAGGCTTGACCAAAGCACAGGGATAACAGGAGGAAGATAAACCAGAGCCTGGTCCAAATTCAAGTCCAGTCCACGCATCTGAAGCCAGGGCCTCCCTGCAGCTTGTGCCAAGTCCAGCCCCCGGGGAATGACCTCAAGACGTGGGTGCTTTTCACGGGCCAGATCCAGAAAAGCCAGATCCAGACTCCTGCTATCCGGGGTCCACTTCCCTTGCTTGTCCCCTGTGCAGAGGCTGGCACTGGGGACACCGCTCCCTGCAGGGGAGACCCATGTCTGCAGCTTCAGTGGAACGGGTTGCATCTCAGGCCACCGCACAGTGAGCCTGCCTGGCCCCCACCCCCGAGTCCCCCGTCTCCCTTCCCTCCCCCACTTCCCTCGGGGCCTTTCCCACACTCAGCTTTCGCTAAAGGCCACGCCAGTCTGTGCTCCTGCCTTCCCGAGGGAAAGTTTAAAACTTGGTCAGTCAAGATGGTCAGACTACTCACCCTCTTGACACCAGAACCTCCTCAGCATGGGCCTCCTGGTTTCGGCCTGGATGCTATGTTGTAGAGAAGGGTCACATTCCAGAACCCTCCCTCCAGGCACATTCCTGCTGATCACTCAGGGCGGCCCCCTTGCCGGCCTCTCCCCACCCCTCCAGGCCTGATCAGCCATGGGGCGGTTCTGGCCATCCAGCCCTGTGCCCGGCCCTCCCTTCAGTTTTCTCCTGCTCAGCAGAGCGACAGGCAGCCGTTTGGGCCCCCAGGCCCATCCTCACTGAAGCAGCTGCATTCCCACCTCCATCAGCAACTCCCCTCACTTGGTTCCCACTGAGAAAGAACAGAAAAGCTCTTGAGTCCACTCCCAACTCCCAGAAGCAGAGATACTGGAGTAGAGGGAGGTTGGAGGAGATTTCCTGGGCCTCCTCACAGGGGAATTTATTTCTCACTGTGGCTGTCCCAGCTGAACGTGTGGCTGTCCGAGCTGAACACTCCCCAACGCCCCTCCCCATCACATCCTTCAACATCACTGGTTCCTTGCTTCCCTTCTGCCCCCTCCCCAGAGCTGCCCTACAGGATTCTTTTCAGTCTTCAGGGAGCCTCAGCCCTGGCCCGTCCAGATCGCGGGTGCCCGTGATTCTCTCTGTAGCCAAGTCCCCGAGCAGTGAGCAGTGTGTCCCAGGGACCTCCTTCATGGTTGACTTCTTGCAGCCCCCACCCATCACACCGCCTTCGTTTCCCAGCTGGAGGCTGAAGAAGCCACTTAGAGCAGCAGCTGCTGCCTCTTTGACTCAGAATTCCCAGACTCCCTTGCGAGGCAAAGCCAAGGCCTGGGACTGGAGCATCCTCATGTCCTCTTCTTGGACACTATTTCCCTTTCTGGAGCCTGAGTCTTTGCTTAATCGCAGCTGAGCCTCAGCTCTCTGGCCAAGCTTCCTCTCCTCTCTTCTTGATGTTCAACCCACCTCCCCTCCCTCCTGGGCGACATTGATGCACCCTCCCCTCCCCCTGCCAGATGACCCTTTGACCCAGGCTCTGAGTTATGGCCTCAGATGCCAACTCCTAGCATGCCCACACTCCGTGGGAACATCATTCCTCATGACTTGAGCAGCTACAACATGGTGGAGGGGCCTGGGGGAGGTCCTTCCAACAGAGCCCCTCCTGCCCCTAAGGCCCCACCTGCGGCTTTCATTCTGTGGGTCTCCAAGAAGGGACTGAGGTCCCCCCACCATCTTTGTCTGTCCTAAGTATCAGGTGCCTCACCTCCGAGTCAGCTCTAGATTTCAGCCATTCCCACCAGTTGTCCCTCCACTGATTTGTTCCAGATATGGGACACCCCTGGGGCCCCTCAGAGGCTTCAACCAGACTGCGTATCTCTGGCTGCATGCTTTCCCCTCATAGCTCTGGTCACCCTGTGATCACTTTGACTCCGAGTCCCTCCACCCATGACGGAGTCTATGTATACACTCCCCCAGCCTGGGCCAAGGTCACCAGGGGCCTGTGCTGGCTGCCGAGAGCCAGCTCCTGCTGAAACCGGTCTTGTGGTTCTGACCTGGGAGAGAGAAACAGCTCTAGGACTTAGGGAAAAGGCAGTCTGGGCCAAGACTCCCCCAGACTCTCCTCATCGGGAGTCCTTTACTTCCATTCCCAGAAAGTCTGCAAGTCCGGGCCACAGGTCAGGCAACCTTTGGGTTCCACCAGAGGTGCCCTGAGGACGGGCCGTGAAGAACGGGGAGTGTGTGGGCCAGGGAAGACAAGACGGTATTTGTCCTGTCTGCATGCAGGATGCTACTGCACTCTGTGGGTCATTTCCCAGCCCGCCCACATCACAGGCGCCCCCCACCCTTGTCACCCCAACCTCAGTCATCATCACTGCTGACTGGGCCTGGCCTCGGGTCTGTGAGGCCCTCGGAACACTCTCAGTTGCTCCTGTCCTGCCACATCGGTCCTTGAGTGCAGGAAGCCTGTCAGGGAGCCCCTCGAGAACATGGCTGGGCAGTCTTCCTCCCGGACCGCCTGCGTCCCGTGCCCCTTGCGTCCCATGCCCCCTGCGTCCCGTGCCGCCTGCGTCCCGTGCCCCCTGCGTCCCGTGCCCCCTGCATCCCATCTGCAGCCGAGCTTTTCCAGATGCCCCAGCCACACCTGGTGGGCCATGCAATGAAGGCGAGAAACTGCAAACCTTAAGAATAGACCAGCCCCCGAGACAAAGGCCCTGGGAAAAGGACGGGCAACCTTTGTACCCTGAGAAGTCAGTCTTTGATGAGCCACGATGTTCCCAGTTTCCACTGAATCCCCTTACCAACTTCCCATAAAGGCTATAACTTTTAGCTGCCAACCCCTGCCCCCAGTGCAAGCCAAATGCTGATTGCTCTGTACCCGCTGGCTGCTGTCTGCTTCCCAAACAAGGCCAGGAGCCTGGCCACTGCTTTTTTTTCCCTTTTCTTTTCTGTATTTTCTTCTTAGTTCTCCCACTCCTGGCAGCTCTGGGGACCTTATTAAGATAATGTAATGTTATTAGCAGGGGCAGCAGAGAGAGAATTTGTCTCAGACCATCAGGTTACCAAGAAGTCTGGGTGGATGGTGCTGGGAAAGCGTTATCCTCTCTGGGAACCTCCATGGAGGCCCAGGACCCCAGGCCCTTTCCTTTCACTCAGTGAAATCATGACGACTGTCTCTCCTGACCATGAGCTCTCCAAGGTGGAAGGGGAATGCCGATCAAAGCTCAGGTGCACGTGACCTGGGCTGGGTCCCCGGTGCAGGGTAGAGGGATGTGATGGCAGGGGGACAGGGAAGGAGAGAGAGTGTCAGATTTGGGTTGGGGAGTTCTGGCAAGTGGCCCTGAACCAGCAGGTCTTGGCGGTGAGCACCCACTGTACACTCAGTGGTGGGCACCGAGCGGAATATCAAAGCATCTGACAGCTTCTTAT